GTGTCTAATAATATTTATATATAAATTTTTTAGTATATATCTTCCAGTTATGAATTCTGCACCAAATATCAGATTTAAGTGCAATCATAAACAGAAATTGAAATAATAAAAATATCATAAATAAAATTGATCGTCAATTTAATAATACTAATAATTATTTTAAAACACTGCGAGGAACTTATTTCAATAAATATTAGTCAGCGTTTTAATGAATTTTCTTTAAAAGATTCTTACGTTCCCATTTCAGAATCCTAATCTTCGTTAGACAGTATTTGGCGAAAAAGTTGTGCGAGCAAATCTATTCCTCAAACAAACTCGGATGAGCAAATATAACTTGTGACACGCTAGGAACGGTCGAGTGAATTTCAACCTTTCTCGCCGTTTTTGGAAACTCATTAAATACCTTTCTTTGTTTACTCACACCTCGTTGAAAATGTGTCTTTCAAAATCGCGCTTAGAGTATATACGATGTTGATACGATGTATCATATAAATTATTTAACAGCCAAAGGGCATTAAATTTTCTTCATTAACGATATTCAAAAAAGCAAAAAGATTTAAATCCTTTCGCCGAGTTTCATTTATTTAATTCGTATCTACGAGTATCTCGTAAAATGCAAATAATCGATAATGTCGCTGTTTGTCCATGTAGATTCATAAATTCATGCTCTAATAAAGAGAAAGTCCAGGTTGATTTCAAAATTACACACCAAAGAAAAGGAAAGCAATTTGCAAAATTACAGCGCATACATTACGTGCATACGATATGTGCGAAGGAGTGGCTTCTCCCTTCGGGAATGAAACATGTGTCTTCTACGCTTTAAGCACTAATAACACTCACGTTCGAGAACATGAGCGAATGAATAAAAGAAACATTTTCATTATCGACCATTCAAGAATCCCTTATCTTCAAATCTGCGTTTAACACGTCAAATTTCGCGGATGTTTTTAAGTCGAAATAGTTATATCGTGAACGTTACACGGTAATGTCATTCGGCATTAATTTACTACCACTGAGTATCTCTAGCGGTTTATCAAAGCGGTTTATCGATATATTTTAAGCGACGTGATTTAGGCGAGTCACGTAAATCATATATCTCGTGTGCATCGCCTTTTGTGACTAAATATATGTACGAGCTCGATGTTCGTTTACGTATCGTTCGTTTTTCTCGGCGTACACTCGTGTCGCAATCTCTCAGGGTGGTCCACATCGCGAAGCTGGATCCTTCGAGGTCGCGCGAGACCACACTCGTTTTCGCACATTCCGTCCGCCAAACTACATCCAAGCGTATTTTATGGACGCACTTTCCTTGGTCATCGATATGTGTGCACTTAATCGTGTCCACGTAGTAACATGCAATCAGAGGTGAAAGTACGGCAAAGCGACAATTGCAAGTGAATCGAATTATGTGGGAAGGTACTATTAGCGATGTTGCAGCAATGTTTTCATCATTAATCTCTCATTCAGCACGCGATCCAATTACGATCTAACGGGAATTAATAAATTATCTTTAGAGCGGCAATCTCAGAAACAATCTGGACGCAAAATTGCACGGTGATTCTCAAGATCAATTGCTAAAAGTGCAAGGTCAGAATGGAGATCGGTAGCGTAGTGAAAAGTCCGCGTCCGTTTGTTACGTGAAATGCTGTGCAGCGTCGGAATTGCTACTTTCCGCGAGGCTCGGTACACCGTGGCAATTCTATTTTACGCATCAACTCGTATTCGTACCGTATTAGGAAACTAACAGTTCAGAAAGGCGGTCACACACGCGTGCCTAGAATTAGATAGCCATCGGTAGATTTCCAGTTCCTTGTAGGAAAAGAATCACGGACCACTGCTCTTTTCGTCATATTTCACCTTTCTTTTTTTTTTGCTTTAAAGACTAAGCAGGAATTTCTAAAACACTTTTCCGTATTCTTAAACAATGTTTTTTTTAGAAAATGTACATTTGTGTGTGTGCGAATGTTTACTCGATTAGGTTTACTCGATTATCCAATAACTTATAAAATAATTAATGCGATATATTGTACATTATTATGTCACGAAAAAACTAATGGGTCAATTCTAAGCAAAATCGTAAGACTCGTAATGTGTTCTCGTAAAACTTGTAAGAACTTATGACTAGTATTCTAATTTTATGCGAATGTATCGTAAGACGTACGATTATTCGTAAATATCTACGATTTCTTGTAAATTTTATGGCTAGTAAGAAGCTGTCTGCAAAAATATTGTATAAAGGTACAAGCACTTAAAAATTCTTACAAATCTTACAGGAATATGTTACGAGCCTTACGATTCTACTTAGAATTTAGACATTAATTTCAGTTGCAATTATTATGTTACCAGAAACAATTATTCAACTTCTGTTGCATAACTGATAAAATCGAGCGATTAATCAATCTTATCTTAACCTTTCAAAAATGCCACACTATAATACCTTATTACGGGTGCAACACACCGTGTATAGTGTATCCAACTTAATTTTGATTGCTTATGACTTTCATAAAATGAATATATGTAACAAATTTTTTTCAATCGAAATACCGGACTTTAAGGAACATAACGCTATCAAGCAAATATATGTATCTTTATTATATAGTAAAAAGTTTCGAAAGAAATCATTTTATATTATAAGAAAAAAAACTGGTATGTCAGATCGAAAATGGCATTGAAGGATTAATCAATGAAATTGAAAGGCTAACTGTCGATTGATTAGGTAAGTTCAAAAGAAAAGTTTTATGACATTAACCCCGTGTACTCGTTTCAGGAATGCAGTCTTCATGTGTAATCTAATAAGTTGCGGAAACTTTCACCTACTTCGAACTTCCCAAATTTAGTACCCCGATGCGATAGTAACGATCTTCATGCAGTATATTTCATATTCCACGTACAGCAGTGTACAGAACAATTGTGTTGATCCTATAGTTATTTTTTAGGTCGTTCTAACTATCTCTTTCCGTTCTCGTGACGCGCAGTTCGTTTTGCAATTATTCCTTCTGTACGACTTGCTAAATAGACTTGTAAAGTAGCGAAATTTTTTTATGAAACGATTTACAGATATATTACGGCGCCATCCTTGAACGTTTTTGCGGCATTCAAGCGAGCTTCGTAAAATTTTGTACACATGGCGCGCACGTTTTTACGCGGCAGCCCGAGACACGACGAAGTGTAAGGCGAAATATTATGAATATCCTTTCCCACGTGTAGCGACAGATGCCAACTTTTGTGTTGGCCTCTTACACACGAAAGCTGCACAAGGCTTGCACGCGCACGCCACATCCCGTGGCACGGCAGGCCGCTCTTTTTAAGGTGACTTCACATCGGGCAAAGCCCCGATAGAATGCAAAAAAAATGTGGTCAAGCATGACGCGAATGTCGAGTCGTTACACGGTGTTACGCCACGCCGATTTCTTTTTGCGCCTTACACGGCATTTAAGAGAGCCAAACGGGAAGAACCATGAGAAGCTATAATATTTTTTACGTAATATTACATGTATCGTACTTAATTTAATATTTTACAATACTTTGGGCAATTAAATAAATTCGCAAAATAAATATTTATATATATATATAACACTAGAACCGTTGGTCTAAATTGACTTAATCGCGGTTTAAGGTAAATCTGGCTTTTTACGAAGAAAGCTTGTTACCATAAAAGTAACATTACTTGTAATTAATTATGATTATTTATTAAGTCACAAAAATCTAAAGTTCTAAATTAACTGGAAAAGAAATATTAACACATGGCGCAACCGCGGTTCTAGGGTTAACACAAATAAACGAAGAAAGCCATATTCTGTCAAAATGGAACTTGGTGTCTAATAATATTTTTGTGTGAATTTTGCATGAATCTTACAATTTTCAAGCAAACTGCGCGCCGATTATTTGCCGATCTTGAAACACTGAAAAAAGAACCTGATAATAGCTATCAAATGTTTAATGAAACCGAGAGTGAAATAATGCCAATTAAATATTCGGTCATATTAACCATATTTAATTGGCATTATTTCACTCAATAGTTGGTAACTATTACCAGATTCTTTTTCAATGCATTCCAAGCTAAAATTGGAGCACGTAATATCACAAATTAAATTAGATTCAATGAACAAGTAAAGACTCTTGAAATAAAAAAATATAAAAAATAGAGTGAATAAAAGTTTAGCGCAAATATTAGATTTATACACTGTTAAATTCATAATGTCAAATTATATCATTAATTTAAGTTACTAATTTGAATTATTTTTGTATTAATTTGAATGATTGTTCTATAGATCGTCACTGCTACCCAATATATAGTTAATTTATTAATAGACTAAATTAATGGAGTTAAATAATTTAACTCAAGAAAATGTATTTGACTCAAATTTAGCTTATTATTTACTAAATGCATATGTTAATATAGACAATATTTATATTTTTACACACATGGAAGTTAAAAATAACAAAATATTATTTAACTCAAGGGATCGAGTTACTCCTCCTTCGATATCTAACAGTGTATTTGTCTTTCTAAACGCATGATTTCAGAGTGATGAGTTCTTGAACTCTCGACGTTAATAAATAAGAGCGTGCTTATCATCGTATGCTCTTGACAAACTTTATAAAAATGATATTTCGAAGATAACACGCGATGCACTGTCCCGGCAATACTCGCGTGACGTGGCATCGAGACGACAAAATTACGAGCACGAACCTATTATAATTTGGTGGAAGCAATTCGTGAATTCGTGGGAGGCGTTCTATCGGGAAACTCGACGTGAAATACGTTCCGAGTTATTTCGGCTTCGGTCTACGAATTCCGTGCAAGCTATAGATCCTCAGCTATTGATTTTTCCCATAAATTAGCAAGAGTAATATCTAATCGTTATCGAAATTTCTCACGAAACGGCATTCGCCGACCTTGGCGATGACCTAAACTCGTCCGTCGAGTTTTTTTCTTCTCACCGATCAATACTCATGTCGTAGAAATACGCTTCATTTCCAATGGATAATGTACTTACTTATCGTCTTGTTGATCCAATCGGCCAAGTCCTCCTGAAGTGGTATCAGCTGTCGACTCTGCGCCGAGTGCAGCCGCTCGTGATAAAACTCGAACTCTTCCTCCTCTGGCGAAGGTCGTGGCACGTCGGCGCGATTGAAGACAGAAACCGAGGACGGTCCCCAGCTACTGCGATAACGGGTGTGCTGGGAGGATGGGAATCGGTTGGCGTACGACATTTTGAGGCAGCTCCTGCCGACCTTCCCACACGCCGGATCCTGTCTCGACGCTTCTCTCCTCGCTCTCCTTGGGTCCTCTTCCAGGACCCACTTCACTTTCTTCGACAGCTCCCAGGCTATTCAAGAACGATGTCGTGTAGAGACGTAAGCCTCGCGATCAAGTACCGCCTGAAAAGCAAAAGAAGGCTACTGTTATCGCAGGAAATAAAATCGCATTCAAAAACTGGATGCACACCGAGAATGCTAATCGAAAGCTAATCGAAAGCGAGAGCGCGATGATAAGATGCGACACGAATATCTTCTTAGAAAATAGAGAAAGAATAAGACATTCGAGATATAGATGAACATGAATGTGCACTTATGCGCGCGGAGGATCCTTTACAATTTCTCTGAGAAGCCGTAACGAAACGACGGAGTTTCTTACCCGTCGAATAAGGGCTCTCTTTTAAGTGTCTTGTCCGTATCTGTTATCTTTACAGCTATAAATAATTCAAGACTCAAGATGAGAATATCTCGAAAAATATCTCTTTACAAGAGCAATTGAAAGTCGAAAGCGGAATTAAAGTCAGAAAGATAAATAGACATTAGATTAGGATTAAGTTAGAAAATTCTCATAGTTGAAAATCATATTTTTTCACGGAGATACGAAGAACGTCTGTGTATACGAAGTACTTGCTGGTAATTATGTCTACTGTTTGCTGTTATATCGCGTGCTTCGATTCTACGAGGGAGCATTAATGGAATTCAAGAAGTCGAGTGATTAAAGAACAAAGGAGTCTGAAGAGCGAGTATTGAACACGAACCGTCTATCAACTCACAAAGGTTAAGCGATGAAGTAGAGCCCATTTTGAATTTTGCAAAGTATGTGATATTTTTTAAATGGGGTTAGCGTTGCTTCTCGCTTCCGAAGAAGCATATCACTTCAAAACAAGAATCAACACTCACGCACCAATAATTAATTAGGTGCTTTTGTATCTTTTTGCAACGAGAAGAAACTTTTCTTTCGTACGATACGGTAATGCTTCCAATTACGCGTTCGCAGGATTATGCACTGTATGATAAAATTATTAATCGCGCTACCAATATCAAAATGCTGATGTAAGAATTACATATCGATGTCTCTTGGACTAAGAAAACAAATCACCGCCCAATGCGATGTTCACGGACAAACCGAGCGTCCTTCGCCGATATATCGATATATCGCGCGGTTATCTCTATTACCCATAACGCAATGTATTATCGCGTCAACACGTACGCGCGTTTCTCAGATTCGTGGGTATTAAGAACAACTCACTCGAGGAGAGACGACTTTCTTATCGAAATCTCTAGCGAGACGAATGACGGCGAGCGACAAGTTTGCGAAACCGGTGAAACTCGGCATTCGATCGGGGCAGATGAAATTGTCGCTGCGCTCGATGCTCGTGCGCTCAACATATGCGCACGTGGGCGCGAAATATCCTCTCACATATATCACGGTAGACATTTCTATAAATCGCGATGATCAATCCTTCGTTTCCGCGATTAATAGCGTTTTCATTATGCTTAAGTTAGATAGGGCGAATGTCAGCTTCAAGATCGTTTAATTAATTTCTGACCTAGACATCTATCCATGCGAAATAGAAAAAATTATAATATGCCGAGATAGCTACAGTTTTTTATCGTAGTTTTTTTTATCGTTTTTCATATATTATCGAAATAATTATGTAGAATGCTTAAGCGTTGATGATAATGCTGCAAAAAGTTTTAACATATTTGAGCGTCCTACACTGAAAAAAATTAACATTTATTTATTTGGTATAAGAATCATTAAAATTTGATTTAACTTTCATTTTTTTCATTGGGTAAATATTTATTTACTATAAGTAAATGTTTACAAATATTAAAAAAAATATTTATTAAGATATAATAAACTTTTTTCAGTGTATGTAATTATTTTAACGGTCCAAATAAAATTATATTCAGATCTATATCTAAATTATTCAGATCTAAATTTTTAAATGTTACTTCATTATGATACTTCAGCAAAAGTTCTTTCCGTATATTTACTTTTTGTTTTCAGAGTTTTTTCCAAGAGCCGCAGTAATTAGAATTGTTTCTGCACTTTAAGTAATAGCGAAAGTATTAATCTTAATGCCTCGAGGAGAAAAGCGATGCTTTCGTTGGACTCTGTCAACATTGGTCGGCATGAATGAAGATGTTGTAAATCACGCAGAAAGTGCGCGCGTAATATTTCTCAAGTACTCGAGTAGCAATCGCGTGCAATTATACCGCTTTCGAAAGGAGAATTCGAGAATCTTTACGAATGTATTTAGCGTGATCTCGGCTTAAAGTTTTCATTAAGGCCTCTCGAACGCCTCGATTCCCGTTGCAACAATCAAGATTTACGTAACCGCGCAAAAATAAACGAATACGAGAAACTATAAGATTTCTATATATGGCGTACAGCGTTGAGAAGAGAGAGAAACAGAGACCGCGTGTAGCGGTATACGTTACGAGACGCTGAACATCTCGAGTTCCTTAAGCCGAACGTTGTTTGTAAGGGTAACTAGCAAGGAAACGCAACATACACATGGTTATCCTTGACTAAAGATTTGTATGCCTAAACTGGGAAGCCCACTGCCAGATTCAGACGAGTTTATCTTCCTGAACCGGTGCCTTCAAACACACGATACACACACGGAATTAAAGAACGGTTTTATTGAAGTATCTAAAAATTTAGGTGAAACACAAATCTCAGAACAATTTTTTTGAATCATCAAAATAATTATGTAGGAAACTCAAACATGATAAACAATGCTACAAGAAATTTTGACATTTTAACAACCAGTTGAGCATCCAACATAATTTTAATAGTTCAACAAAATTATTTTTAGATCTGTATCTACAAATTTTTACGTAGAAAGAATGATTTTGCTAAAACATTCAAAAATTTAATTAATACTCGAAAATAATTTTGTTGGACCATCAAAATATTTATGTAAATTGAGAAAAATTTCTGGTTGAAAATAAACGATCAATCAAATAAAATATCAATCAGAATTCCCGTCATCATTATTGGTTATCTCGATTAGAATTATAATAGATTTAATATATAATAAAATTCTGATTTGTGTTTCGTTTTTCATTAGAATTCCAATTAATGCAATCAGACTCCGTTTCCAATGTAGAAAACTCAAAAAGCATGATAAGCAATACTACAAAAAAATTTTGACATTCTAACAACCAGTTTGAATGTCGTACATAATTATTTTGATAGTCCAACAAAATTATTTTCAAATCTGTATCTGTAACTAAATTTTTAAGTACTTCAACAAAACCGTTTTGCCTGTGAACTAATTTTGAGTTGCAAAACTTATCGAACACAGAGACGGTTCTACGTCGACTTTATCGGACACTCTCAAAGACGTCATTCATAAAGACGGTATTGTGTAACTGCCGAGAAACGACTAAACAGCTGTACAGATGACTTACGAATCGAGATACCAAGAGATTAACGAGATGATGTACCATTAATATATCCGATTTACTAAATTAAATCCAAATGTACCTCTACATCACTTAATTATTTCTTGTAATAAATACGTAGACTGATTTCACGATAATAATCTGCTTGTGTTCTAAAAATAATCGATTGGGTTATAAGGTTCTTCTCTCGCCGCTTGAAAAACATCGATAAAAACACTGCGTGAGCATCATTAGTCAAGTTTTTATTTTTCGTTAGATAACGTAACGACCGCCCACGGGATGACATAACTTCATCGCTTTATACGTTTTCGATCTCTGCATTAATTTATAGACTCGGTTGCGCTGCTCAATCAATATCCAGCAGCTGGCCGTAATTGCATAGTTATTACATAGCGATACTTGACGCCTACATTCAAAAATCGCGATGTCAATCTTCGTGAGCAGCCATTCACTGCTTCTCATGTAAATAACATTAAGCATGATATAATAAAGCTTTGTAAAATTTTATTCCGATAAGAAACGCGTCGTCCATTTTAGAGCACGATACGATGGATGATTACTTTAATTGATGCATACATTGCACATAATTTGCGCAAAGCATGAAAAATATTTTCTTACATAGTCTCGTTAATGTTTCAAAGTTTCATTTCGATTACGTGTGTGCCTCTTCTGTCATAATACAATGATGTAATAATATATAGTTCTCGTTTACGCGAAAGTACTATCCAATTAACATGAATGGTTCTGTTTTAAAAATGGCAAGTTTTAAAAAATCGTTAGACATTAATTTTTTAACCAGGTTTAAAAACAAACAACCGATTAATTAACGACGGACTAATTTTTTTATTTTTTTTCTTATTTATTAAATCAAGAAAATCAAAAGTAAGTTAAATCGAGATTAAAGATGTACCAGGTGTATATCTGTGTAAAAAATGACTGGAATTGGAATACCTTCCGGATAAAAATAAATGTTATATACGTACGAAATAGTTCAATAAGATCAGTACTAACAATTATATTTGATAATATAATTTTTTAGTTTAAATGAAAATTTTCTTATTGTATCTTAATTATATTTTTAAAAGAGCATGTCTACACTGTGAAAAAAAGATTGGCTGCTGCAGCAAATTAGATGGTAAAATATGGCATAGCATTTTTAATTGGTTGCAGTAGCCAATTTTGGGTTGCGTTAGCCTATCTGCAATGTCAGTATAGGATTTTGATAGACTAACACAACCAAAAATTGACTGCTGCAACCAATTAAAAATACTATGCCATATTTTACCATCTAATTTGCTGCAGCAGCCAATCTTTTTTTTCAGTGTATTTCTTATTGAAATAATTTTTGATCCAGGTTTTGAATTACCGTCAAACGTTTGTATTATTTTCAAACACAGTATATAGAAAAAACTCTAATTTTTTTTCATGTTGATAAAAAATATGTGCAATACATTCTTAAAGATAATATATTAAATGATAGAAACGGACATAAGTCGTAAGAGAAGGAAGTCGATTGAATGATACGAAAGGCACGGTCCACCGATCGGAAAAAAATCGAAGTGCATTATGCACCAAAGTCCGTATCCGAAGTCAATGACCGGACAACAATCGAGTCTAATCGGAGGATGAGCGGCGAATTGGATCGCTATTAGAGACCTCAACGCGCGCATACCTACTTACATACGTATAACAGCGCGGGATTA